TGCGTGCATTTGTCACTAAACAAGCGTCCTGCGCCCTTGGTTCGGTACTTGTCGGCACGGCTCGTCTCGGCTCGGCCCGACTCGGCCTCACTCGGATCCGCAGCGATCCGTTCGGCGTTCGCCTCTTGGCCTCTTGCTCACCGGCAACGCCTGTCACTTGCTGCTTGCTGCCTGCTTGCTTGCGTGCCACTGGTAACTCGCACGCCGCATAACCCTGCGATTATCCTGCCATTAGTGTCCGGTTCTACTCGTCCTTGCCACATTCGATTCCATTCGATTCCATTCAACTCGAATTCCACCTTTTAATCTTTCTACTCGTTTTCACTTTGATTTTCGATCCGACTCGAGATTGTGTCGTTTTCGTAAAATATGCACACGTGTATATATGAATACGACGGTCAAATTATTGCATGCAGATGACTCGTCGGACGATGAGGAGCTTGGTATTTAGTCTTTAGTTAAAATGTTTCCTACGAATCGAAATCTCGATACTCCCGGCGAGATGTTTGAAATGACAGTTGCGTGTCATAGAAATATTATTTATTGTAGTTATTTAGAAATATTACATGTTGGTGAAATATTATGTATCTGTAATTGTATGATTTTATTATTTGTATTATTTTCATTTAACTGTTGCAACTTCACCAATGTGACAATCGAACCAGTCGGTATGACAGATTTCGTTTGAGCCATTTGAAAAATACGTCAATATTGATATTAATTTCTGTCTAAATATAATCGCATAAATCTACCTACTTTGACTATCATTCAAATTATAATGACTTGTACGTAGAATATTTTGATAAATAGATATTTATTAATATTTTTGTCCAACTAAAATCGAGTGTTGATTCCGTACGTGTACGGACTGTCGGTAAATCAGGTTTATCCTGCTTCATCTGCGAACGTCGATCTTTCGATTTTCCAGATAGAAGCACGTATAGAAAAAAAGAAAAGATGTAAACGCTTTTTATTAATTTTCAATCTTTTTACATCCGAAAAGAAAATGCTACAGGTTAGGTTTATAGTCAAATAGTCGGTCCGGTCGCGGAATCTTTTTGTTGATTTCGTTAATTAACTTCTTCACCTCTTTCGGAAATTCTTTGTTCACTATGCTTATGATGTTTGTACGAAATATGTCGGTAATAGCTTTGGCCACAGCGTTCAGCAACGGATCGTCTTTATTGCCCTCGAAAATGACGTTGAATTTGCTGAAAACAAAGCGTACAATTGCGACGAAAATTTAACAGCGAGAACGATAACGATGAATGACAATTACTCGGCTTTGACGATGTTAGCCGTGGGCATAGCAAGTTTGTAGCTGTTCATATCGAGTTCAATGGTGATTCGCAGTTGCATGTTGCTGATACGACCATGAACCTCTCCTTTCCTCGAGATTAGCAAGTCCTTCAGAAGATATTTGTAACTGGCCTGTTGGAAAATTTACAAAGGAAGAAGCAAGCGTTTCTACTTTCGAAAGACAATACGGAACAACATGGCGGAGGGTCTCTTTAATCTCTTACGTCAACAACGTCGAACGCTAAGGTTGCATCCACGGTCACAACCTTATCTTGATAAGACAAAATAATATCGTCCGCTCGTCTAACGTTCGATAGCCCTTGGAGCCAGCCGTTCGTCAGGTTGAGAACTCTGTTATGAATTATGATCCCTTCCTGTAGCAGACGAGAATAAAAGAACGATCAGTGTTTGAAATTCGACGTGGGTTGAATCAAACTCGTAGTTTGTCAGTTCAGCTACCAGTCTTTCAGATAAATCCTCCAGTTTCAGAGGGTCCAGTCCGTGCTTCACGATAAAGTCATGAACCGAGGGTAACATCATGTCGAACAACTTGTTGATTTTAGCCGACAGCTTCTCAGATCTGACGCTGTTGTCTCCCCTGTACCACGAAATGATACAATAGATTAGGCTTAGTAAATAATTCTCTCATAGAGGTGGAGATAGCTCAGTCGGTAGAACAGTCAGACTCTTAATCTGAGGGTCCAGGGTTCGAACCCCTTATTCGGGCGGAAAAAAAAGATCCTTTAGGATCACACGAGGGGAGAGTTCTAGGTGTATAAAAAAGTCCTAGAGCTCTGCCAACGTGCGGAGGACGGCCATCGTTGGAGGTTTTAGTTGGTAAAAATCCGACACTACTTTGGGTCTTATCGAAGATTTCCTTCACGTAAAAAAAAAAAAAAAAGAATAGTAAATAGTTCTCTCAGAGTGAGCAGCATCATCTGAAAGTATGTGCCAACTTACGTGCCAACGAGTAATGATAGAAACTTACACGGCATTGAGGGGGCTTGCGAAGGCAGCAGCGAAGAGAAGTAGAAAGACGACGAATCGAGTTTGAAGAACCATGATGAATCGATGCAGTCGAAACGCGGTCAACTATCAGGGATCTGACTACCATCCATCCAACTTCTCTCTGTTTTTATTCGGTTATCCGGCTGCATCTTATCGAGTCGTATCAACTTATCGTTCACACGTCTAAACAGTTGTTCGCTCCTGCATTGATATAAATCACGACGATAAAAACGACTATGTAGATTTATACAAAGTTTGAATTGAAAAGAAACGATTATCGAAAGGAGATATTTTTTGCATTTTTTTCGCTTATCTTCTTCTGTTCGACAAACATAAGTTTAAAATGCGAGAAATACATATTTTCATCTCTTATCTCTCTCTCTCTCTCTCTCTCTCTTCTGACTTGTCAGAGAAGCAAAAAGTTGTATAACTGATTAACTTTAGACCTCGTCAAAGTGACAAATACATATCTTGTCGCGCTACCGCAGAAAGAAGAGTAGCTTCATATTCAGGAAATATGGAATCATGCGAGATCTAGAAAAATGATCAAAGAAGAAGAAAAGAGAATAATGTTGTGCATACTATTAATTATTAATACTTGGTAAAAAAGAAGCTGAAAGACTGTCAAACGTGATTATTTAGATCTTTACAGACAGGATATCTCGCATATTATATACGACAATAAGAAAGAAACCTGAAGATGATCAAGTCTAGATTAAATTTAGACTGAACTGGTGCAAAAAACGGTAAATAAAAGAGAGAGAAAAGAGAAAAAAAGTTCTCTCCCTTCGTCTATCTTCTCCTTTCTCTTTCCTTTACTTTCCTTTTCTGCAGTTTTTCATTTAGAATTTCGATTGTTCACGGGTGTGTTTTTGCATGCAAACGAGCGCTTCAAAACGAAAGGGAGACGGGATCGCTTTCAGTTTCATAGAAGAAAGCGAAACGGACTGACTCTGTGCTCTGAAAGCGGGTCAAGATGCCCTGCATACACGTGGAAGTAAGCACTTATTTACTCTGCGCACTTGATCTTCCGAGTTTCAGTGTGTGCTACGCTTTTAATCTCCATGTGTGACGAAAGAAGAAAAGAAAAAGAAAAAGTGAGATTAAGAAATCTCGTTAATCAAGACTCGCGTTGATAAATTCGCGATAATTCGAAAATCACTGTAACTCTATAATCATGTTTATTAAAAATCGTCCCGTCTTTCATTATCGATCGAAGAGAAATGGTCGAGCTGTATCAGACAAACAAGATGGAATCTCTATCTATTTGCCACTTGGAAACGTGTGAAAAATTTTCTCCAGCTCCCTCTTTTTTCTTCTTCCCCCCTCTATCTCTCTGTATCGTTAAAAATATATACATATCTCGAGAGATAATATTAATATTCGACATTGAAGATCGAGTTCTGTGTAAGCAGCATGCACCTACAAACAAGGAAGGCTCATGATCAATCAATCGATCAATCACTTTATAAATTGACGTTCACTTGCAATCCGATCACGTTCGTCGTTAACGAAGAATCGAGGAAACAAAGAGCTATCGATCGGAACCACCGTCGTTTTGATTTAATTCAATTGGGATTCTATTTTTCCATTTTCTAAGATGTGAAAGCAAGACAGCTTGTCCTAGAACGTCTTAGCGCGACTTTTAAATCCAATTACACGAGAGATCGAAACAACGCGACGATCGATAATCTTGCTCCGTTTCGTCTGATTGTGAAGCAAAGTCTTTCAAAATTTTCGAAGCACGGAGAAGATATCATTCACAAATAAGCCATTGACCAAGCTCACGTGAGTCCTGAAATCTAAGTATGTATTCAACACAATGAAAGAAAGAAAACACCTTTCTATATATCATATATATAAATTTTTTTATAATTAATTATACATTTTATAATTAATTATACATAAATTATATGTATATAATAATAATAATATAATAATATTATAATAATATATAATAATAATATTCAAATAGTTACACTCCAAATTTCAAATGCAACTACTATTCGAATTGATATTTCAATACAATGATATGATTTTCCGAGCCCTAGCTACAACGATATTTTTTGAAACTCAATTTCTAAAATTTTTACTACTACTAAAATGTTTACTACTGTTTTATCTTCTTCTATCGGCGTCGTCGCTGTTTCGCTCATTTAAAAGTGCGCGCGCCGTTACACAAAATGTGACGGCGCGAATATTTAAAAAAGCGAATTTAACAGCGGCGACGCTGATTTAAAATGAAGAATGAAGAAAATACGAAAGCAGAAAGTATTCTCAGTTGTTAATAGCCAATCAAAGCAGACGGTCGTTATAAAATCTTTTAAAAATTAATATTGATAAATAGTTATTGTTTCTTCATAGTTTCTCGTAATAATGTATTTATTTGAAGGAGTAAACCTCCATAAAACATGCATGATGACCTGTCGAGAACTATTCGAAGCAATGTGCTGCCATCTATCGATTTTTTCCATTTCATCATTTTAGTTCCAATTGAAATTAAGATGAGCTTAGAAGGCAGCACTATCGGTCGTAGAGAAAAAGCATGATAATGTACGATAAGGATAGAGTTACCGATTAGTTCTACCGTTTCATCGCAACGCGGCGCTAGTATTTCTGTATTAGCAAATTGAAACAAATATTCATTTGCAAAAAAAACTAATTGAATAGTTTAATTTGGAAATTTTTGCAGCTGTTGTTTTGTTTTTTTTACCCTCAGCTTTCTTTCCGTATTTTGCTTGACCTTTAAAATTCTTGTACAAAGATCTGCAATAAAAAGAAACACTTCGTTGGTTAAACAAGGACCGCGCCATTGTACGACAAAAACAGTAACAGATTTTAGTTCCACTGCTTCACCGCTACGTGGCACAGCGTTTCGCTTTTTTGCAAATTTCCATTTGCAACAAAAGCGAATTGAGGGAATTTATTCTTGCATTTTTGTAATTATATATCCTGCTAATTAATCCCTCAGCTTTCGTTTTATGCCATATTTGACTCAGAAAATGCGCGAATAAACATTTTTTTATTAATTCTACTTTTTACCATCAGATGGCGCCACAGTGATCAAACCGTCACTCCAATTGTTTGTAATTAATTAATTAATTAATTGGATAAGAAATCGGAACGACGCTACAAAAAAACAGTTTCCTAGGGCACAGTTTTTAATTTAATTTTACTACAGTTGAAAAATTCGGCTCAGAAGTTAATCAATTTGTTTTTTTCAATTTCATCATTGATAGGTTAACTTCACCCGTCATTGTTGGCGCTAGTGTTGGAATGTTTATGAATCGATTAAATTTTTATTCGGAAGAAAAGGTAATTAACTTGCCAACTTTTATAATCGCTTGCAAACTCTTAGAGGTTCTCAGTTTTCTTTCTACGGTCTGTTTGATCTGTAAAAGGATAAATCGCATAAACATTTGAAATTTCTGCTTCAGATCGAAGCACAGGATCAGGTAGTAGTTTATTTTTGGCAAATAGCATTTGAAATTTGGATGAGAATTGTTCGTGAATATAGTCGGAAGTACGCGGAATATATTTCGCATACAATTTTAGACAATAAGACTGATCTGTTATGTAATATGAATCGACCAACCTTTTATTACTACAAAAAAAAAACGAGCTTAAATACACAAGCTTTTGTAATTAAATCCTAATTAAATCGTTATTTCTCTCGAATAATTAAATCCTCCCTGCCATATTTGAGACTCGACTTTGTTAATAATACTATAAATATATATCTATTACTACTATAAATATATATATATATATATATATATATATATATATATATATATATAT